CACCATGTGGGCGGGGTCAGTACCGTTAAAGTCCACGGAGGTGGGGGTTCCGTGCTCTGAGAGAGAGACATGAGGAGAGTTATGGCTTGGCGAAGGTCAGGGTCCAACTGAGAGGGGCATGGAATGTGTAGGTAAGATACAAAACCAGTTGCATAATTTGTAGTAATAGTATTACCTCTGCAATATACTCTGCAGTATTAGCAGTAGTAGTATTACCATTGTACTAGTAGCAGTAGTAGTAGTAGTAGTAGTAGTATTACCTCTGTCTGCGTTGAAAGTACACACACATGGCGCCCTCTCTTGGGGGTTCCACAGTTTTACAGTTCCATCAGCAGAACACGACAGGAGCCGGTTCTTGATTCCGCTGAAAGCCAATCCCCACACGGCGTCCGAGTGCCCGCTCCACGAGCCCGCCAGAACACTGGCATCTGATGGGACCAGAGTAGAGACAGACTGTCAGGACAGCCAATCAATCTGGACACTAGAGATTGGCTCACAATATCCAGCATTATTCATTCATTTATCCGCCTGCCTCAGTTTGTGGACTTTGTAAAATAAAATACATCAGAAACAGTCTAACTCCATCACAAGAACATTCAAAGATTTAATATTAGCTTTTGATCTTTTAAGAGCCAATTGGGAGCGAGGCTGTAACGCCCCTTTCCGCCTGCACCACATGTTTAGTGCTTAGCAATGCTGTCAATCAAACCTGTTGCTAACGCTAGCAGGAGTGAAAGAAAGGTGCCTGATTTATCTCTTATTAATGTTCATATGTTGATTTAGGGACAAATAGTGAAATAAAACCCAGAGGATCATGTGAAGTGGGCTAATACAATCATTTTAAGGTCAGAATGATGAGCCTGACAGAAGCAGTTGAAGAAAGGAGCCGTGCTTTTTTTTTTTTTTTGATAGAGCCGAAAGCACTCCCATGGTCACTTCCTTCCTTTGGAACATGGTGGCTAGCGGGTTAACCATGTCCTTTACAGTCTATGGTTATTTACCATATGTATTATCATTGCCTGTGCTGGTGTTTTGCTGTAGTTTTGGGGGTAGTTGGAGTGTAGTATTTACCGTATGTGTCGTAGGGATCAGTGTTAGTGCTGGGGATGTTCCACCAGTGAATGAAAGAGTCCAGACCTCCACTGAAGCACTGCTCTCCACTGGGAGTCACAGCCAGAGACAGGACTGGACCTCTAAGAGAAACAAAACACAAAACACACTTGTAATATCTAACCAAACCAACTCAAGACGGCATTCTCTTAAACAACCACCAGAGGGCATTTGAGAAGTGACAAAACCGGACGAAATAAAGCAACAAATAAACAAACATGGGCCGCATGTTAATTCTCTTTTCTCGCTATCAATCATGTGTCATTGTTAAGTGGTGTCAAACAGAAAACCACAGAATGAAGGAGTAAACCTGAGGGAGGCTTCAGGAGCAAACATCAGAGAAAAGAATCAAACTTTATTGGTCTCAGTGAGGAGTTTATATCCTCTCTCCTGGGCGAGACTTGCTCACCCATTTCCTGCAGAATTGAGGAGAGGAATCAAGGAGAAGGAAGCAAAGAAAACGAAATGAGGTGCGCCCACAGCAGTTTTTAAATTGCATATGTTGAAAAAGAGCAAGCTGTGTTCATATGTAGTTCTATTGCTAAAATTGCACATGTTCTAAGGCCAACCATTTTATACAAATGAGCCTTAAATTAGAATTTAAAGTACTCACATGTGAGCTCTGAACGTGTAAACAGGCTCCACGTCGAAAGAGGCACTTCTGAAACACACAAAACAAATATATATTTATTTTTATTGTATGTGTTTGCTGTATGTGTGAAGTTTAGTCTCTGCTACAAACGATAAAGAAGAATGCATTCCCACAGAGCACTAAGAACTTAAACCTGTCTGAGATTAAAAAAGAAAAAAAAAAGGAGAGAGGGAGAAGAGATACAGAGGGAGAGAGAAGAGAGAGGGGAAGAGAAGAAGGTGGGACTGACGGGGGGGAGAGTGAGAGAGCAAGAAAGAGGGGGACAGTAGGAATAGAGGAGGAGATACAGAAAAGGGAAGGGAGAGAGAAGAGAGAGAAGGTGGGACACAGAGGGGGGAGAGGGAGGAGAGAGGAGAGATAGATAGAGAGAGAGAGACAGAGAGAGAGAGCAGGAATAGACAAGAAGAGATAGAAAAGGGAGGGAGAGAGAGAGAATAGGAGGAGAGGAAGAGAGAGAGGGGGATGAAGAGGATTAAAGGAAGGCTCTTTTCCCATTCTGACACTTGTTTAAATCCTAAACACACGTCTAACAGAGGGAAATGCACAGTCACAGGAGAAACTACAGACACAGGATTTACACAAACTCGCACTTATATCGTTTTATCTCGGCTCTGGGTTCATTTTAAACTACACAAAGAGCTGCATTCTTCATTCACTCCATACACTGCTGAGATGGAAATATACTATTGTAGCCACAGCTGCCCTGGGACAGACAAAATGGTGCAGAAGCGCAGATGGCAAAACCGTGGTCTACTGCCTGGTCTACTGCCTGGTCTACTGCCTGGTCTACTGCCTGGTCTACTGCCTGGTCTACTGCCTGGTCTACTGCCTGGTCTAGCCCCTGGCCTAGTCCCGGCTCAATCCTGGCCTGGCCTAGCCCCTGGCCTAGCCCCGGCTCAATCCTGGTCTAACCCCTGGCCTAGCCCCGGCTCAATCCTGGTCTAACCCCTGGTCTAGCCCCTGGTGTCTAGCCCCTGGTGTCTAGCCCCTGGTGTCTAGCCCCTGGTGTCTAGCCCCTGGTGTCTAGCCCCTGGTGTCTAGCCCCTGGTGTCTAGCCCCTGGTGTCTAGCCCCTGGTGTCTAGCCCTGGTGTAGTCCAGTCTTTACTTCTTGGCGGGCACAGTCTTTGTCAGGTTCCAGAGCTTCATGGTGTGGTCCTCGGACACAGAGAGGAGGGCCGGGTCGGTGGGGTGAAAGGCCAGAGCTCGCACACCGTCAAAATGACTCCTCAGCGTGTACTTTGGGTTCCAGGTTTTTCTGAACGAGGACTCCTGATTCGACTGCAGCTACAGGAGACAACAAAAACAGGTTTAGAAGCTGTTTAAAATAAACTGTAATATAGCATTTATTCTATTTAGAAATTCACAAAAAAGATTAAAACCAGGACTAAATCAGGACTGAACCAAGGCCGAACCAGGGCTAAACAAGGACTGAACCAAGACTAAACAATGACCAAACCAGGATTTCTAACAGGACTGAACCAGATCTAAACCAGGAATAAACCATGATGGAACTGCAACTGAACAAGGGACTAAACCAGGGACTAAACCAGGGACTAAACCAGGGACTAAACCAGTGCCGATGCCAATTTTTTTTCATAGACTGGTTTAAAGACCTGCTCCACAGTTTGAGAACCACACTTTTGTCAAATTTAAGAATAAAAATTATTTTAAAACATAAAAAGAGTTTGTTTCTCACATCGTATCCATAGTCGGGCTCGTCATTTGTCACTGTGAGGTCAGCAAGGTCCCCCAATCCCAGAACACTCTCCAAAACTGCCTCTCCTCCCAACAAGAAGGACTTCCCACCAGAGGATGGGAACGCTAGAGGCTCAGCTAAAAACAAAACAGATAAAACAGTTAAACACAGAGAAGCAAATGCAGAGGACCAGACAGGAGCAGGCCTCACCCCACTCTGTTCCGTCTCCAGAGCTTCGGGCTTCTCCGGCTCCTTCTCCGTCTTCTGTGACCAGGAAGTCAAACTCTTTCAGGGCCTCCTCTGTGTCTGCATCCTCCTCGGTCGCCAGCCCCTCATGTCCCGCCTGGAAAACACACAACAGTTTGATCTCTGAATGGCTTTTATTCATTCTTTTCATTACAGACATGCAGCTAACCAGCAGCTAAAATGAAAGGGCAAATTCTGTTGTTTTCAGTATGGGTTCATGTGTTGTATTCTGCAGTATTTTGAAGTACTTCTTGTAGTACCTGGTGTATCTTGTGTTTTTTGGCCCGTGGTTTCTCGCTCAGGTCCATCACTTCCCCCTCTCCCTCCTCATCCTCTTCTTCATCACTATCCTCTGCGTTTTCCAGGAAGTTAAATGTTTCCAGAACATCTCCAGGACTCCTGGAAGTCAATAAAAGGTTCAAAACATTTAGGTCTCCACCAGATCTAGACCAATAAGGTCTACACCAGGTTCACACCTGGCTCAGACCTGGTCTAAACCCTGTCCAAACCTGGCCTAAACCTCATGTACCTCTTGTCTTTCCGTCTGTCTGTGCCGTTAATCAGGGGTAGGTTCTTGTTCTCCACGGCTCCGTTTGGCTCAGACCCGGACAGACCCAGGAGAGACCTCACTCTCTGGGTCCGAACGTCCAAGATGGTGTCCGTATAGCCCACCTCCTGGAGATATCTGCACAGATGAGAGGTACCCAGACTTATGTGCAGAACGATTTGTGGGGCAGTGTGTCTACAACATGGTTTAAGATTCAGATCTGGGTTATGGTTAGGGTTTAGGTTTAGGAAAGTCAGTTTCCAAGAAATGAACTGAAGTCAATAGAATGTCCCTAATGTGTGCATGTGGTCGTTTTGTGTGTATATATGTATGGTGTGAATGTGAGGATGTATGTGATGATTGTGATAGTGTGTTTCTTACTGTCTGAGCAGCTGCCGTCCCTGTTTCCAGGTGAGCTGACTGTTGGGAGGAACGGTTGACACGTCAGAGTCTCTCGTGTCTGAAAACCCGAAACAAATAGTCAATAATCAATCACATGGATCAATAACAGATCTTTGGTGTAGAGTAAACAAAGGGTCAGACCAGAGTCAAAGCTTGGAGACTTCACCTCTCCCTGGTTCAGCTCTGTGCCATACTTAAGTTTGTGGTATTTTGCTCTGGAAAAAAACAAAACACGTTTTCTTTTAGAGAAGAAAAAGGAGAAAAGAAGAGCAGCCTTTTGTACCATTTCTACACATATCAGTAAAAGCAGACATACTGTGCTTGTGTCTGCTCTAGGGGTGTCACAAAAATATTGAAATATTGATATATCGTATCATTTAATGTGATGATACAGGATCGATATCGTGGGCTGCTGTATCGATATATCTCCAAGAGTATTTTTCAGTATACTTTACTAAATTACTTAGTTACTGCAATACAGTTTTGTTGCTTGTTTAGAGGAAGGAAACTCATTTATGCAGCACATTTGACATTTTCACTGTTTTGATGAGTAAAATGTGTGTGTTTCATATTAACTTTGCACAAGAGTTGGTTTAACACAGCCATGATTTAGCCATTATTTTTTACTGAACCATATCGAATCATTTTGAAATATATCTTATCGTGGTCTATGTATCGAGGTATGTATCGTACCGGTAAGTTCTTAATGATACCCAGCTCTTGTCTCCTCTGTAGTTATAATCTATGACACCCATGGATCACTATGTCATAATTTGGCAAATCTGTCGCTGTAAACGTCATCACAACAAAGAGCTGCATGCTGTTTGCCCCTCCTATGGATCGCTGCAGACCTTAATTTGCAGAATAGGTCTGCTTTTAATGAATGGATTCAAAAGCTGCCTTTACTAGTTTTCTTGAATGTCATAGACACTGAGCCCTAATGAAACCTGTAACACACGAGTGTTACAGGTAGACTGTAGAGGAAAAGTACCTTTCTTGTTTTAAGGCGAATTCCAACATCTTTATCCTGCGGACGAGGTCACTCTTTAGGTTCTCCTGTCCTTTCCTCTCACCCTGAAGGAAGGCGATACGGGCCTGGAATAGACACAGAAAATATACTTTTATTAACACAAATGTGATATGTCTTATTTGGATTGATACAACTTTGACGCTCAAACTTCCACTTTATGAAAATGCAACTTTTCTCCTTCAACAGGGAAGGTTGGTTCAAAAGATGTTACTACATCCATATAATGACAAAATAAGTGTTGATTTGTACTGAATTTTATCTAACTACTCTTACTCTTTACAATTTTTTTCCCATCTGCCATGCTGCCTTTGTAGCCAAACCTCTTTGTCAAAGCCTGATCTCGTCTGATCTTTTGCTAAGCAGGGTTGGGCCTGGTCAGAACTTGAATGGGGAATTGCTGGGGATTCCAGGTGCAACAGTGGCATTGTTGTGTCCTTAGGCAAAATTGTAAAGCGTCTGAAAAAGACCTTTAGAAGACTAATGCATTTACAGAGCAACAGATTGGTTATAGTTTTTAATCAAATGCTAGGCATCACCAAAGGTCAGGCAGGGGTCAGTCTGAGTCACATGACCAGTGTGTTTCTGCAGCTGTTATGAGTTCTTAATAAAAAACATTTTCACTGTCAGTATTTCTTCTGCTTTAGATGATCCACAGCGACTGACACCTGTATAGGTTTTGTGATGAGGTTATTGCTGCCAGTGGATTTGGAAGCAAATCTATAAGGCGCTCCCAGATGCAATGATAAAAAATGTGTTTTCATGTATTCATTGAACCTGCCGAACCACATGTGAGCTATATACATGTGTGACTGTGATCAAATAATCCAGCTAGGCTCAAAGGAGATCAAAGTAGTTTTTTGTCTATTTCTCCTCCTCCTTTCATACTCAGGACTGACTCAGCTCTGGTCCTAGTCCTGATCTCTGGGTCCCTGGTCTCTGGTTAAACAGGTGCGGGGCGTTAGGCTATAGATCTCTTTTGGAGGGTGATGTCAGCTGTTCTTAAACCCTTCCCATCTAAGCTGCACCTGGCGGCTCGGGATCAAGCGCTCCTCGGGGAGTCCCAAAGACCACAGGGTGAGAGAGAGCACCCCCAGAGGACATGTGAGAGAATGTCAAAACAATGTGTTAAAGAGACAAGTTCCACCATCTAAAACATTGCAGTTAGGCATCCGGGCACTCAGCCTGTAACACTGACTGCTGAACGAATAGCTGACTAAGAAATTATTGCGATAAAAGATAATATTTTTAGACCATTTTCAACTAATATAATGATAATGGAATAAAAATGTAGATACACCCTTTCAAAGATCAATAAACTTTACTTTCTAAAGAACATTTAACACAGGAACTCCAAGACAACCAAAAACAATAGGCCTAAATAAAATAGACTTGTTATCATAAGAATAGCCTAATGTATGTTTGGCTTACAGCAAGGACTTGTTAACAAAAATGCACTTGAATAAACCATTGTTGGACAAAACACAACCAAAACAATAAATAAAATGGATTAAGTCTCTGTAACAAAATTGCCCTTAAAAGTGATTTTAGTCATTGACTTGCATTGGAATATTGTGGCTCCTCTCTCTGTGGCTGCTGCTGTGAGCCTTGTCAATTTTGTTCTTGAAGTGTTCGTAGTAACGCACTCTACATAATCCTATTTCGCTATTTTGGCAGTCAAGAAATTCCTATTCATAATATAGAGCCTGGATCCTCGCTTTGTCCACTTTTTTATACAGGGATTGTCAGACTGCATCACTTGGTGCTCTGCTGCGCATGCCTCCTGCAGAGAGAGCCGCTATCCTGTCTGGTATCATGTCAGTGACTTGTGGGAATTCAACAGATCTCGGGCTCTCGCGGGGGCTAGGCTGGTTGTGTCGATCAGGTATGGGTGTATGTCAGCGGCTGGAATTTGAGCCATTTCTTCTCGTTGTTTGCTTGCTCGCCTGTATTTGACACATGTGAGCCGTTGAGATGTATCCCACTCACTAGTGTTGATTTGGCATCGTGACTTGTTTAGTCACAAACCTTCGTGGCCCAAGTCAATAGACATTATTTGTAAATCACAAAATAAAGGTGGATTTGACCATTTTTGAAAATTACTGAGGATATTTTATAGTTGTGATCGTGTCTTTCTGAACAATTAGTATTACTCAAGTTTTAAACAATGAAAAACAGTAATTGAACCAGCAATAAAAGGATCCATAAGTAGCCTATTTGGACATTAAAAGTAGCCCTGTATATTGCAGACCTGCATGCAGATCGTGACAAGGCAACCCCAAAAAAATCTCTTGCGACCCACCTGAGGGTCGTGACCCAGTCTTTGGGAAACACTGGTCTATACAGTCCAGGCTGACATATTTGTACAAGCGTAATTACACAAAGGAAACAAGAGAAGACAGAAGAGTGTAATAGAAGCATTTTGACATTCAGTCTCTTTGGTAGAGAGAGCGAGAGAGAGAGATGAGGAAAACAAACAAGCATGCAAGTAGAAATTATCGCGACCGGAAAAGTTATCAAGCTTGTTAAAAGTTGCTGTGCGATTAATTGATTCATTGATTATCATTACAGGCCTAAATTTTAAAGGGACTAAATTATGCTATTTTCTGATCTATGTTATATTGTTTTTTTTCCTCATCATAAACATACAGAGTTGTGTTTTGTTTTATTCACAAATGTTCAACACACTGCGTTATGTGATGTCATCAATAAAAGTAGAGAAGAAAGTTAGTCATGGTGGGTGTTCTATGGTGTGTACTGGTGGGGGTGAAAACTAGAGTTGATCAGCAATATGGCTTCTCGAAAAAAAAAAAAAAAAAAAAGCGATTAGAGATTGCTCAGACATGCACAAATTACTCCAAATACAACTTTGGGTGAGTAACAAAGTTCCTGAGGGGAAAACAACTACATCATGGTTTAAAAAAGCTCTGAAAAGTCCATTTTGCAGAATAGGTCCGATTTAAAAGAGTGAAGCAACACTGTGCAAGGGACTTTTACATTTTTGTAGCACAGATAAATCCTCCTTCAGAAAATCCTCTGTATATTTTGTGCGTCAGATTATTCAAATGTGGATTAACGCCTCGTCTCCAGGATTCTTTTACCGAACAAAAATTCAAACACACGACTTAAGCGAAGAGGAAAACATGAGGAAATGTCCTGTTTTAGAAGGGAAAGTAACTGAGTGTGGTGAGAGGTCAGAGGGACTGAAGGAACAGAAAAGCTGAAGGAGTAGAAAAGCAGCCACATTTGTCAGTCTGCCCCAAGGCAGCTTTGGCCCAAAGGTATCTTAGGCAAAGAAGAAAGAGCCAGAGGACAAAAAGAAAAACCAAGTGATGTGAAGATGGCTAGCACAAAATAAGATAAATAAACCATGATTTAGGCCAGTAACATAGGGCTGCGAGGTTAACTGGAATTACATCAAAAATACGATTTGAATGTAAGTAAATATCAAATCACAAATCCTGCAATTTTTAAAGTACTATAATTTATGCATAAAAAATATTAACCCTGTAGTTCTCAAATGCAGTTCTTGTATTTGTTTGCCACTTCACATTTCAGTCTTTCTGTCAATTCTTGTGGATGTCTATGTAAAATGTGAACACTGAACATAACCTTATTAAAACATAAATTGCATGTCTAATCGCTATCGCAATACTTTGCTATTCGATATTTTCCCAAATTGTTCAACCCAACAGATGCATTTAGGGTGAAAAAACAAAATCCATAAAAACTAAATCCATAAAAACATTGGCTCAAATGCATAGAGTCTGGAAGTTACAGTACCCAGTATTAGACATTGTAGAAGCGACAGTCAATAACCTATTGACTAGATCCACAGTCCACTTTTACTGTACTGCTGGGATAGCAGTCCCTTGTCTTAGTGTCTTTCCAGTTATATCATTTCAATGTTTGCACCCAGATAATACTAGGTCTCAGGAGTAGAAATAAACAAGGATTTACACAAACGGTTGTCAAATGAACTGTAGAAAATATCAAATGCTTGGGGTCTTCCATTCTGCTGCTGTGATCCATTGCAGGGTGTTCTCAGGTGAATGTTCCTAAAATGTATTTGTTTGGGTAACGTTGGAATCTAGATAATGCATTGATTTTAAGTCTCTGTCCCTCCATATTCTCCTCCTCTCCTCCAGATTCTAAATGGTCAACATTTTACTAAGTTGTCATTTTACCTCAAATCTGAGGCCCGTCCTCATTCTGTCATGAGCCCAGCTGCTCCTGTTACTGCTCCTAACATTAAATTTAGAATAAATAATAGAGTAAACCACATTATTTCACAGTATTATAGAGTTATTACAGACTCTGCTTTAATACAAATGATCCCCCGTGAGTCTGTTAACATGAAGTCCGCTCATTTACAAGTGAAAGTTTGGAGGCTGAGCGCATTTGTTTGTTTAACAAAGCCCCTGTCATAGCGCAGTTAGCTTTAGCCCTGTGGCTTTAGCCTAGCTGCAGCTAACGGGAGCTAGCGTGACAAACCAAAATAGCTCCGACCCGAGATTAACGACAGTCTGCCGGGCTCATGAGGACTGCACCCCCCGCTGACTTCTCCGGGCAGAAGAAACTGTCTAATGAGCAGTTTTGTAGTGAATTAAACACCCAAATAGCTCAAAATATGACGTTCAGATAGCTACAAAGCTAAGTGGCAATGGAGCTAACGGTCAACTGATGCTGCCACTGATTTCACTTCTAAAAATAATTTATATCACAAAAAAAATCGATCAACAGACATGCTTTAGAAATACAACTAGCTTTATATGACATGATTATACACTGATGTGAGATAAAAAAAAAACGCCTAAAACCCAGCGTTTGGCTCCATTATGGTTGTGTTAGCTTTTATTCACGCTTTCTTGAATGGAAAAATAAACAGAGGCTTAGTGAAGACAAACGGGGCTGACAGCGGATGTGTCTGGGTCCAGAACATATCCCTGATCCGAGACATGACACACAGATCCATAATGATCACTCTAATAATAGTAAAACCGCACGTTTGAGTTAAGATTGGTTTGGGTCACTTTTTATAGCCCGTCTGTCTGTGACGTCACCACGCAGTTTTTAGGTGACGCAAATATTACAAAAATCTGGTTTAAATGCACAATTTATAGGAGGATTCATACAGTAAATGTGTGTGTTTGATTTGTGATCAAGAGAGGTCTCTTATCAATTATTATAAAACCAAATCTGACGATTAAAATCAAACGGAAAACGTGAAAGGCCGCAGTGAAAACAAATTTTACTAAAATGAAGCGGAGGATACATCAGGAGCATGTCACTCTGGTGAAAACTGTCTGACAGCAACAACGGGACAGGGGCTAGGTTTAACAGAACACGGGGGAGTGTAAAATAAATTGTGACTAAATGTGTTATCATATTTAGATTCCGTGAAAGACAGTGAATGAATGTGGATACAAGGCAAATGGAGATGTGGGTTCATTTTACGCTCTGTTAAGCCGTTTCCCTAAAGGTTTAAATGAACTGCATGGTTCAGTAAAGTGTCATCAACCCCCACTCGGGTTTAGCGTGTCTATCCCCGGGTTTGGTGTATATGTGTGTGTCCCCGGGTTTGATGTGTGTTTCTCCCGGTTGTGTGCGGCTCTGTGCGGCTCTGGCTCTGACCTGCAGCTCGGCCCTCTCCACTTCCCAGTGCGCCCTCTCCATCTCGAAGCGGGCCCACTCGTGCTGGATGTAGTGCAGGATCCCGGGGATAGTGTACTGCTGCTGGGGCCGGGGCAGCTCGTCGGCCTGGTGGCTCAACATGACACCTCCCGGAGCTCCGGACAGAGGCGGGGCTGCGTTGCCGTTGCTGCCCGGCGGAGAGTGCTGCTGAGGCGGCGTAGCCTGTCGTGTCTGTCCCGCCGCCATCCCCCCCGCTCCCGGGTGTTCGTCCATGTTTTACGCGCCTATATCCGGGTAAAGTCGAAGCGGAGAGTCCTCCCTAGAGCCCGGAGCCGAGTCCGGGCCGTGACTGCGCGGAGGACCGTGGATTATGGACCGGGACACGGGGTCTGTGTGCGGTGCTCCGCGGCCGCCATTACGGCTCTGAGCTTCGGTCAGAGGAACAGGAGCATGGGCAGTGAGAGGCAGGAGAGAAGGGAGGGGGACACGGAGAAGGGAAGGAGGGATCTACCGTCTGCTCTAAGGCCACAGGGGGGCGCTGCAAGACGGCAGGCGATGGGAGAGTTTTATTAAAATTAAACTAGATTAAAGCGAATTACTAAAATAATTGGGAGTACAGTACACATGAATGTAACACAATTATTATTTTTTTATTACAGTTTTCCCATTTACTTTTCGACATATTACTCTGTACATTTGTTTTACACTGGAAATAAAACTGCGCATGCGTGTCCTGTAGAAATTCTGTCACGTTAGCCTGTGTTAGCTTCACTTTAGCTTTGTCACATTAAAAGGTTCTAAGTTTTATTGTCTCATTTCTTCCACTCATCATTTGGGATTCCGGGAACATGGAGCTCAGGTCGCTATCATAAAAACACATTTACGTGTCTTTGCGTCAAACCGAAGAATTTAAACCTGAGCTAAACTGTTTGCTGAAGCCAGGTGAGTGTCATAAACACACAGCAGCCCAATATACGAGCAAAATCACAGAACCAGGATTAAACCAAGCTTTTTCTAGTACTAAAATCTGCTTGAAACCAGGTTATAATAACGATCTAATTGGAAGTAAATATATACATTAATATAATGCTGTTATTCATGCAAATCTGGGTCTGTATTGATACTGTGCAGCTGACGTCATGTCATCAACATTCCAGGTGATGCTGCTAGTGCCTCTGCTCTGTTTGAGGCTCTTTTAGATTTTATCTGAGCTTTCATTCAATACATACGTGTAGAACACCTCCACCAATGGGGTGTCGGATCTGGAGAAGAGTCCAGCTAGGTACTCCTCACCAGGATCGTGGCTCTGGTCCTGACAGGTTTAACCCTTTTGCAGATGCAGAAAAAACATTTCTAACAGATTGGTTTGTTTTGGTTTCAGAGATGATCCAGTTCTTCTTGATGGTGAATCGTCAAGGTCAGACACGGCTGTCTCGATATTACACTGATGTAGAGCTAAATCTACGACAAAATCTAGAGACTGAGGTGGTCCAACGCTGTCTGTCCAGAAGCAAAGAACAGGTGACATTAGAGACATTCCAACTGTACGTGTGTGGACAGAGATTTCACCTGTACATGTTTCTTCTTCAGTGCTCTTTTGTGGAGTATCAGGATTATAAGCTTGTTTATCGACAGTATGCAGCCTTGTACATTGTGGTGGGAGTCACAGATGATGAGGTTTGTGATGAAATGTGTAATTATTTGATCATTTAAAGCACTTATTTTCTTTATTTTAACATTTCATCTTCACTTTCTTTCTCAGAATGAGCTGTCAATTTTTGAGATGATTCATAATTTTGTAGAAGTTCTTGATAAATACTTCAGTCGTGTGGTGAGTAAAACTGGACTAGGTCAGGACTAAAACTGGTGTATAAAGAGGACAAAACCAGGACTTCAAAAGGACTAGATCAGGACTGAAGTACTACCAGGACTAAAGATTGGTCAAATGAGGTAGGCCTGTCACGATAACACATTTTAAAGATGATATACATTGCTTGCAACCCAAAATATGTTTTCCAACATTTATATTTATATATTGGATGTCGATTATCATGACAGGCATAAAATGAGGACTAAACCAGGACTTATTAGATTGAGATACGGGGTATAGATTTGATGTTAAATATTTTTATTTCCTTTCAGAGCGAACTGGATGTATCCTTTTAATCTGGCACCTACTTGTTTAAACTATTATTTATGGCTGTTAAAAGAGTAATTTTAGATTCAATTTTTTTCTTGACGCCATTTTGTTCAGATCATGTTTAACTTGGATCGTGTTCACATCATTTTGGATGAAATGATTCAAAATGGACATATTGTGGAGACCAACAAAAGCAGGATCCTGGCTCCGATCACCGCCATCGACAAAATTTGTGATGGGTAGAAATCCTCAAATAGAGAACTGGACCAGGACTAAACCAGGTCTGAACTGGCGCTTAAACTGCTCCCATCACCTACACTGGACCCTGGACTAAAGCCACTGGTTTTAAATGACTGAACTGAATGAATCCAGAGACACTGAAGGATGGTTCAAATGCAGAGGACATATTTCTGTTTTGGAACAGTAAACATTTTATTATAAATAAAATATTTGAAATGTCTCAAGGTTGGCTTTGTTCCTGCGTCTGTAGCCTAATGAATAGATGATTTGCCATTGACAATCAATTTTATTCTTTTAGCTCAGTGGGACTTTTAAATGCCAAAGCTCAACATAAGTTTGAGGTTTTTGCAAATAAATCTTAATTACCAAGTTTTTTTGAACCGTTAGTGTCTTGTAGCCCTAGATAGCAACTTAAAATAGTGTTTCACATTATGCATGCAATTTGTCATTCTGAAAACAATACCTTTCAAGTAGACTCAACAGATTCAAATGCGGGCAGCTCTAAGGATTTCATCAGAACAAAATTAAAATACATATGTCAGTTTTATTTAAATAATGTCAACCTATTAAAATAAAAAAAACACCTTTTTGGTAACATTAATGCAATTCCCTAGTGTTATGTCATAATTTATAATCAAAGTAAAATTTGAAACTTAAATTGCCAAACTGGAAAAAAAAATGTGCAAAATTGATCTTTACTGTGTTTTAGTCAAATAAGGAGTCCAACTTGTCCTAGGCACTTTTTGATTACTGGTTTATATTTACAGAGTTTCCAGGGCTAAAGAATCCAGGGCTAAACCAGGTCTCAAACACCACACAGAGCCAGTAGTTTCTGTTCGTAGTTTTGCAAACGATTTAATGATTATTTTTTGGAGCATACACATCTGAAAATATCCTCAAACTGCAACTCGTTAAATAAAGACTGTAATAACAATAATAATAATAATAATAATATACAAGTCATACAGGATCCTCTCACCGCCAGTGTCTGCGCCCACAGCGTCTTAAAGAAACTAAAACAAAACACGGCATTGACCTGTGCCGAACCCCAAAAACATCACGCCAAAACAAAACCAAAAAAAGAAAAAAAAAAAAAGAAAAAGCATGATTGTTCCAAAAAGAAGCTACGAAAACGTGAAACAGGCACTAAACTGAACCGGAGCATGCTCAGTGAGGAGCCGGAGCGGAGCCGGAGCGTTGGGACAAAACACGGCAACAAGCAAATGCAGAAATGAAAACACAGGATTCAAGTTTTCAAAAAGTAAGTAGAGGCATTAATGGGAAAAGCAGCCATTCTGAAAAGATGAAGCACGGTGATGTGAGAAATTATAAGTCAAGAACTTAAATATAAGAATGTATGTCAGTTTTCTTTTGTTTTAGATGTAAAAATGAGTTGTAAAATAATTGTAAAATGGTTGAGTCTATGCACCCAACTGGCCCAAGCAAGTACCCGCCTAAGGCACAAAGAAGCATGGAGAGGCTTCAGCTACATTTAAAACAAATAAAACTAAAGGTGGACTGATACTGAAGCAATTGTGTGAAAATTCTGACAATTCGGCTTTATAATGATTTGGTTTTTAGTTTTGTTTCACAGATTTCAAGATTAAGGCAAATCATTTATACATTTTAGACTGGAGATCAACAAGAGATGCAGCATATTTCAAAAAATGCAAGAAATGTAAGCAAAAAGTTCAAAAACAGCAAAAGAGATTTGATCATTTTGAAAAATGTTGGATGAGACAACTGATTTGGAGAATTTTGAAAAATGTGCAAAAATTCTAACCAAAAGTTGTGGAAATGTAGCCTTGACCAAAAAGAGTGATATTTTATCTGCTGAAGTCGCAGGTTTGAGTGCACGTGTTTTGTCCCTGCGAGCTCCGGTAGTTTTGGTTAAAGGGGCGGGGTCTGCAGAGGAGTGGGAGGAGCAGAGGGGGAGGGGGGAGGGCTAGTTGAGGTGGAAGCCCTTCTCCATGGTGGCCGCTAGGAGGCGCTCTCTCATGATGTCCTCTGAAGAATACTCAGGCAGCTTCAGGTAATGTACACAAGTGTTCACAGAGGGGTAGCTGTGGTCTGTTGCATCCACCTGAGAGAGAGAGAGAGAGACTGGGTCAGAACTGGGACTAAACTAGGACTAAAGCTGGAGGGAAGGCATCTGTCTTACCTTTCTGACAATGGTGAGGCGCGGGTGCAGGTTGGCCAGGCCTCCAGGGGGCAGTGTGGAGCAGCCAGTGGTGAACTGAAGAAACGCTTTCCTCTCGTCTGAGTTCATCCCACAAAGAACCCTCACGAACCTCAGGAACCCGGGACTAAACCAGGATCATAACCAGATTGAACAGGGATTTAAACAAGGGACTAAACTAGGACTAACCCTCACGAACCCCAGGAACCTGGGACTATAGTGGGATTAGCACCAATTTAAACCATAGACTGTATAAAGAAGTGGACTCCGTGTCCACCCTCATCATAATGCAAAAACACCAGGATCATCTAGAGTGGAGTAATACCAACATTTTTAGGTCAGAGTGATGAACCTGACAGCAGCAGTTAGAGAGGGGACACATTTTTTCTATAGAAAGTAAATGGGCTTGTGGAATCTCCATGTCCACTTATATAAACAGCCTAACCAGAGACTAAACCAAGACTAAAGCATGAGCCTAATAAGGGACTACAAAATCTGGATGCTGCCTGGACTAAATCATGAACACACTGAATAAACCAGAGCTAAAGTAGCAGTAGTAGCACTAGTATGACCAGTCTCTGGTGTAATGGAGTTTGGCAGTTAGTAGTAGTAGTAGCAGTTATAGTATGTTCGGGAGTAGTAATAGTAGTAATGTCTGACCTGTCTCTGGTGTAGCCGAGTTTGGGCTCAGTGTAGTTGATGATGTCATCGTTGGTCCAGGATGGTGATTGGTTCCCGCAGAGAATCATCTGAACCTCTTTGTGACTGAAGGAGCTCAGCTTCTCCATCGGGAACACGCGGTTAAAGCCCTCTGGAAATATAATGAATACAAATGTAAATATAACTGACTGTAGTACAGGTCTGAGATCATTTAAGTTTTCTTTAGGTTTTGTTGTTGTGTAAAGAGGATAAACCCTGTCACCTCTGAAGGCCTCCATCTGCCTTTGGATCCCTGTGTGCATACAGAAGTCAAACATCAGCTCCACGTATTCCTCTGCGTTCTCCATCGACACCATCTAAGAGAGAACAAGAGAGGAAGGGGTTAACCAGGGCTGAACCAGGGCTGAACCAGGGCTGAACCAGGGCTGAACCAGGGCTGAACCAGGGCTATATATTTTACCTCATCGTCTCCGTTTGGTTTGAGGTCTACAGCTGAGAAACCGTGGACTTTTGAGGACGGACAGAACTGGAAATTCAACCTGAAACAAAACAGAGATTTAACGTCTTGAGTAAAATTTTATATATTTTTATTGAGTGTCTACTTTTAGTGATCTGATTTTTACTGTCTTAAAAATTTGAAAAACAGGACTAGTTCATTTTCCAAAGTTATTACTCACTTACCATACACATTCTGAGCATCCTAATTATTCACCAAGATGAGATATGTGCTCTTCACAACTTGGAAATATTAGAGCAGCTATGCCTAACTGTGCTTATACAGTAATTTCTGGACTATAAGACTCTACTTTTTTCCTCACACTTTGAACCCTGCGGCTTATAGAATGATGCAGCTAATGTGGACGGATTTTTTGTTTGGCACATTGTCCATTCATATATATGGTCTGGCATTTCCACGGATGCACGCACAGCTTATAGAAAACAGGCTATGTGTAGAAAACGCAGCTGTCTGTGCAGTTAACACATGGATCTAGGGTTAACATGAAGGTTCAGCATTTGCTAGTAATGTTATCAGTACTAAAACTGCTGTTTGATAAAATAAGTTATGATGTCAAATGAACATCAGTGAGGGGGATACGTCTTACACCATATGTGTAAATGACAAGAAGAAACGTCTCAAACTTCAGTAACCGGACATCCACCCATACCTGACCAACACAACTAGCCCCGCCCCCGAGAGAGTCTGAAATCTGCTGAAATCCTACAAGACACTGACATAATACAGACAGGACAGTGGCTCTTTCTGCAGGAGACATGTGCAGTAAAGCGCAGGAGAGACAGGGGTGATGCGCCGAGGAAGATGCTCGTTTGATTGTGTTTTGAACAGTTATTTTGTGCTTCATGCACACACCCTCCTTATGGAAAATACATGTAGAAGAAATGCATATGATGCAGCTTTTAAGTTTTAAGTGAAGTGGCTATTGAGGAAGGAAATGAAGCTGCTGCACGTGAGCTCGACATGAATGAGTCGATGGTGAGATGTAGGCAACGGCAGTGTGACGAACTGACTCAATGCAAAAAGACAACAAAAGCTTTCAGAGGCAATAAAAGCAGATAACCTGAAGAGAACTTAAAAATGTTCTTAAGACACGGACAGCTGTTGTATATGTACAATTTGAAGTTAAAACTTAGTTGACGCAGCTCATATTCAGGTGCACTTAATAGTCCAGAAATTACAGTATATATGATGTTGTCCTGTTCTCACCCAAGATCCTCCACACTGAGAGGAGGCCCTGAGCCCAGAGGGTTCTTGAGCATCAGGTCCTGTAGTCTGGTGTTCTTCTCGTCTTCAGACAGAGATTTACTGCTGAGAATCTGACGTCGCTTCACAGACAGCTCCTTCATCTCCTTCAGGAAGCTCGCCCTGGAAGACAGTAAATACAACTTTAACGATCTTTTTTTAATAGTTATTTTGGAATTGTTGTGGAATTGTCTGGAACTGTTACTTCCTGGTTGGACATAGACAGCAGATGTGACATACAAAAGAGGTAATTCACACAACAATAATGGCTAGCCTAATAAAAACACTTATTTTTTCAAATGAAGAAAACTGTCAGAAAAATGCCTTCTTTGTGCGTAAATTGTCTCCGCAAGTTTTCCGTGTTCATTAAGTATACTTAACTGATGTAAAATTGTGATAAATATTTACCACAGGTACTATCCCAACAAACCAAGTCTGAATCAGAAAGCATAAAAATCTGTATTTAAGTACTACTAAGTAGTCAAAAGCAGAGCCCTAACCGGTCTCTCTGAGCCTGTACTTTAGATCATCTTTCTCCTGTATAAGCCTGTACCTGTGGGGGTTGACGTGCTGGAAGTCGTCCCAGGTGAGCAGCCCGTGGTACCAGGCGGGGGGCTTGGGTTTGGGAGGGTCCAGGATGAACTCTGACTTAGAGTCTTCATCGAACAGAGAGTCATGGTCCTCAGTCCCAGCTTCCAGATTGAGTCCTCGGTCCACACTGGGAGAAGCGTACAGCAGTTTGCTCATGTTGGACTTGATGTCTCCCATACACAGCAGCTTAAAGAAGGGTCTGGACAGAGGCAGGTCCACCAAACGGCTGTCCTGGATACATTTGGCCAGAAACACGCCCAGGAAGCGGAATAACTGTGTGACACGATCCAACTCCTCACTGTCCTGAGGAAACGGAGCTGGAAACAGCCCACAGGAACGCTGCACGTAGTATCCAGGAGGTTTGAGTCCACCGCCCAAGTCCACCTAAAATATACAGAGAATATATGAGAGAAATGTCCCCCGTAAATATACAGAGCAAATAAGAGATAATATAGTCAACAAGAATGCTGTACATAGTGTCCGGGCGGTTTAAGTCCAGTGCCAGGTGCACCTTAAATAATATACAGAGAACATATATGATAACAGTCAAAAAGAAAGCTGCACGTAATAACCAGGAGGGGCAAGTCTGCCGCTCAGGTCCACCTTAAAAACGACTTATGAAATGTAAATTACTGTGTAATGTACTGAAATTATGTCTGGGAGCTTAAGGGAAAAGTACGGAAGCCGGGAGGGCTCATAACAAACGCAAACGGCATAGCAAATACGAACGCAACAACACAAATGCAAATGCTACAACACAACAAATCAAAAAAAGTACAGAAAAAACAAAAATGTGGCTGTTTGCTGCAGGTGCTCCAATCAGTGGGAGCAGGTAAAGGATGCTCTTGGAAAAAGGATCAAAACTAAAACACAACGGACTCCAGGCACTCCAAAGAAAAAAATTACATGAGGAAAAATATAGTTAAAAGGCCTTTATTTAAATGGCCAAAGCCAACATCAAAAAAAAGTCACAACGAAAGTGACCGTGGGATTCCGAAGGACCAAGCAACGGGACATCGATCCTGGCAGCAAAACAGTAAATTACTTTTACTTATTTTCTAACTTCGTTCACTTCTCTGTTCCTTTACATTTCACATTCTTGTTCTTCTTCAACTTTTCCCATTCACTTCCCACTTGATCCTTTAATGCATTGCTTAGTCCGCTGTGTTGTGGCGTTTGCATTAAAATAGAGTCCCACAGTCACTTCCATTGTGGCTTTTTGTTGTGTTGTCGTGTTTGTATTTGTTGTGGCATTTGCGTTTTTAGGAGCCCTCCCGGCTTCCGTAGAAAAGGTTGTAGCGACCGGCAAAAATAGACTCCCAACAAAATTAATCAGATCAGGAGTTGCACTGCATGCAGTCTGAGCCCAGGGTTAGAGTTTAAAATGGCTGACAGAGAAAGACTTTCGGAGGTGTTCCAATAAAACATAATACAACTACATAAGACATATTAAACATTGCATAAGCGCGAACCCACCTGTCTGGATTCATCGTCGGGGAAGTCGTCGTCACAGAGCCAGATCCCCAAAGATGTCCTCTGGAACTCAGCCGCCACCAAAGCATAGAACTCCAGAGTGGGACCCAGACCTGTGCCCTCCTCCCCCAAGAACTCCACCTGTAAGAGGGGAGAGGGATGAACAAGGGATGAACCGGGACTGAACCGGGACTGAATCGGAACTCACCTCGAGCACAGACTTCCTCTCTGCATGCACGCCCATCACAGACTCCGCCCACTGCATCATGGCATCTCCGCGTGGCACTTTGACCCTCTCGTGTTTGAGTCGTCCCACTCTGAACTCCCCAGGGTCGTCTCGGCGCACGGCGGTCGAGGGGCGAGAGCGCTCCATAGTGGCCTCACGACGGTTCTGCAGCCACACGATCGCCCTGGAAAAAGACACACAAATTATAGACGCTTCGATGCACAGACATAATTTTATTTAAAAATTAATTTTTTATTATTTTTTTTGGGCGCATTGTTGAATTTCTCTCTCTGTACCTAGAGGCTCCAAAGGCAGTGCAGGTGAAGTACAGCTGTCTGGTCTCAAAGGGAATGAGGAAAGGACACTTGGAGGTGAGCTGTTCACACCAGTCTGGAAGTGCGCCACTGGCTAAAGCTAAGGGTTCCTGGAGACAAAATGTATACAGGGTTAAACTCAAATAGACTCAGGATTAAAGCAGAACTGTCAAGCAGAGAGGAGGATGGGGTAAGTCAGGTTGGGCAGGGACACAGACCTCAATCTGCTGCAGGATTTTGGTGGTGATCTTTTTACTGGTGAATTCTTCTGGCGACGCATTAAACTGAAGCTCCTCCACATCTGAAAGTCACATCACAGTTATACGTACAGTCACCTTTACTGTGATGGCAAATCCTTCTTTATATTCAACAGCTAACATGCTAACAGTGCACTTCCTGATTCTCTGACAATAAACCAGATGCAGTACACAGCTGCCTTTTTTTTTTTTTTTTATTAATTTTTTTTTTTACCTCAAGAGCTCCCTATACAATGTATAAGAGCAAATTTTTTTCTCAAATACATGGGAGGAAAACAGGTAAACTGCACATACTGTATATGTATATACTCCCCTCCTCATCTTCCTCTAGCGTCCTAACCTTGTCTCCTTACCTTCCTGTAGAATCCTAACCTTGCCTCCCTGTTACCTTCCCTTTCCGTAGCATCCTAACCTTGCATCCTTTCCTTCCTGTAACGTCCTAACCTCGCCTCTTCGTCTCCTTACCTTCCTGTAGTGTCCTTGCGTTGCCTGCCGCATCTCCTCCGATGATGTAGAGTATTCGCAGTAGCTGTAGCACATCTTCCACACCACATGCATTCTGGCTGCAACCAGCCTTAGCCTGGGCCATCTCCCTTGCTCCCCCCAGGATCTCCGAGCTGTGATGGAGAGGGACAGAGGGAGACAGGCCTCCAGAGCGGCTTTGCACCAGGCCCTGCTCACAGAAGTCCTACAGGAGGCAGACACAAACTGGGTTACAGGATGACCACAATTTCAATACTATGGAAAAACTTAAAAGGTGCACTTTTCTGGTGGAGGGTCTGTCAAATGCTTTTCTCCATGGAGATGATATTGCATTGTCTGAAATGTTTCATTGTCTGGCATTAAACCTTTTTATCTTCACACCAGACAAAGTTACAGAACAGATCTGTGGTGAGGCAACCCTGCTCACCGTTCTGTAATTGATAAATGAGTATACATGCACATCAGTATCCCGGTTATGTCAGTATTCAGGTTACTGCGTATACATGCGCGTTGAGAAACCGGGACACTCATATCTGCGTGTACATGATCAAATGGAGTATCCCGGTTTCTTAACATAATCTTAAAAATGCGTAAGTGCAAAAATTAACTTAAATCAATTTAATAAACCAGGAACAATACAAGCCTGATCTCCTTTAGCATAGGAAGCTTGGGAGGTTTAACCAGCGGTAAGCAGCTATGAGATATCCCACAATCCACTGCACACATCAAACCCAACAGATTCTTCATTAAAACCTTCTGCATAAAAAACTCAACTTTACAACATATAAACCATAACCACTATAGATCCACATCAGCCAGTCTGATAATATAATTCAGCTTTGATCACATTTGTTTACGTTTTAAAGAAACAAAATTTAAGACTACATGGCTAATTTACATAAACTGTTAGCGCTGATAAAAACAGCTCGCTCCTTGGGCCACTAATGAGGTTCAGCTTCTTTCAAACTAAAAGACATAACTCGGTGGATTATGTGTGTTCTTTTTGTGACAGAGGAGGTCCTGATGATGGTAAGTGTGTTCTGTGCGTATATTGTATAGGAGATAGTTCATGTTATAACTTTTCAGCGATCATACATGTGCAGGTCATATGAGTCCAGTACGTCCGCAGGTTTAGCACAGCTTTTTATTCTACATTTCACTCATGTATGGTCACTTTATTTATGTTGGTCACTTTATTTATGTCGCTACTGTTGCAGTGAAAAGACTGGAAAGTGTTTGTCTTTTGGACAAATGTGCACTCAACTTTATGTTGCAGTAACCGGGATACTGCGTATACTTGCCACAGTATCCCAGTACTATCGGTATATACCAGCTGCAGTAACCCGGTTTCTAATAACCGGGATATTGCCATATCCGGGATACTGCATATACATGCACCATGAAGAAACCGGGATACTCAAAAAACCCAATCATAACCAGGATACTGATGTGTATGTATACGCACTCAAGGAAAAGCTGTTTAATGTCCTACTGTTGAACATTCCAGGAGGAGCAATGTCATATCCATAGAAACTAGCAGGTGACGGACCCCCAACCAAAAAGTTACATAGTGCACCTTTAAATACACACACAGATTCTCGTAATACCATAAATACACTTTTAAATAAACAGAAGATGCACTGTTGTATTGGACTTATTCAAAGAACCTCCTTCAGACTCACCATTTTGCCACTCTCCTTCTCTTTGTCGGAGTCCTTCAGCTCTCTGTACATTATCCTGGAGGAGAAAAGACCTGATTTAAAAAGGTTCTACATGTAGGTTCACGAAGGCAGATTTTTAAACTAGACAAATTTGTGCCATCAAATATGACAACCTTCAAAACAAATACAGATTTTACTGATGACAAAGCTCATTATCCAGTCAAAAAGCAGAGTGAACTGCTCAATGGGCTGTTTAAATCCTTGACTGTGATTGGCTGTTCTTACGTGTAGGTGGGCTCCCATATCCTCCTTAGCTTGTCTGTCTTCACTGCTCCACTACAGGAGAGCTGGAGTAAACGCTGGACGTAAAAGAAAATGGTGGATTTGTAGTTGGACAAAGGCAGTTCCACTTCCCGAGTTGTGCCCAGACCTGCCACCTGTGACAATGAAACAAATAAAATCCAACAATCAAGAGTAATTTCAAAACTGACCAGAGACTGTCAATCAAACATCCATCATGGGGAAAGGCAGAAATGCAGATGTTAATGATTTCTCAACAAACTTTTTATGCCTGTTAGCCATTTCTTACTGGATTTGTATAGCTCCTGGACAGTATAATGCAAACGCAATAATTAATTACTAATTAAATAATTAATACTTGCAAGGATATTAGTAATAAGTTTGGGAAAGTTAGGAAAAGTAGTTGAGGCCAGACGATACAGTTTTAAATAAACTAGTTCCACCAACAACAATACACATCAATACTCTATCAATATTTAAAACCTCTAATATATCAGGACTAGACCATTTTAAAAACATGTCATCTTCAGACATTAAGTCCAATTATTAAGGATTTATGTGTTGTATCGTATCACACATTATCATAATTGTAGAGGGGTATATGTTCTAATATTGCCAAACATTCCATTTTGAATCAATACTATATAATATTGTGAGAAAACCCGTGATTCATAATCCTTATTCTTACTTTGAGTGTGAGAGAAAGACGAGGAGATGGAGCACATTCCACCTCCTCCTGGACCTCCGACCGTGGCGTTCCTGAAAACAAAGTAAAAAATATGAAAAATACTTAAATACTATGTTTTTCCCAAATCCCAAAGCTACATTGTGCTAGGTCTAGCCAAACTTTCTACTGCTGGGTCATATTTAATACAAATCGGGCAGCTACAGTGAGTCTTGTTAAAAAGCAAATTTGTGTTGTAATACAGTGAGTTCTTGGGTTTAGTCACTGATAGAAATTATCAGGTTCAACTTTTGTGAATTTATCTTTTGGATATTTCATGGTAAAGTACAATGTAACCAATAGGAAAATTTGTCTCTAGCCCCCCATCTGAGAGTACAGCATCATCACATTCTATAGGCAGTCATGTTTAAAACAGATGGGGGCAGTTAAAATGACTATTGTTAGAATGTCATTTTTTGTTGTAATACAGTGAGTTCTTGGGTCTAGTCACTGACAGAAATGCTTATGCTCAACATTTGTGAATTTACCTGTTGAACATTTCATGCTAAACTATAATGTAATCAAAAGGAAAATTTGTCTCTAGCTCCCCCCATCTGGGAGTATGACATCATCACATCTACAATCTGAAAACCACCAGTAGTTAAATTATTACAGAGCATATTTACCTGGAGGGGGAATTTCCAGGTCTGTGGTTTGCTGTACATTTGTTCTTCCGGG